GTTGGCCAGAGGCGATTCCGATAGTCAACTGCTCATCTGAGACAGTTGCGCAAGTTTTCTTAGAACGATGGGTAGCTCAGTTCGGTTGCCCAGACGTAGTCATCACTGACAGAGGATCGCACTTTGACGGGCCCTTCAACAAACTGCTCAACATTCTTGGTTGCCAACATAATCGAACCACCGCATACCATACCGCAGCTAATGGGATGGTAGAAAGGTTCCACCGGCAACTCAAAGCATCACGCTGTGAGCAATCTAGCACATCCTGGCACGAAGCACTTCTGCTCGTTCTCTTAGACATAAGAAACACAATTAAAGCGGATTTGCACGCCACTCCATCGTCGCTAGTCTTTGGATGCACACAACGCTTACCTGGTGAACTCGTCTCACCAAAAGCGCCAACAACCTTCGACTATGGCGACTACGCAGCTCGCCTATCTCATCACAGGCGACAGCTTCAGCCTGTGCAACCCAGAGCACAGAGCTTGAGTACCAACCTGGACGAACGCTTAACTACTTGCACGCATGTGTTCGTTCGCACTGACAGCGTACGCCGACCACGTCAACCTCCTTATGCTGGTCCGTACAGTGTCGTACGCAAAAGCGACAAGACCTTTACCATTGACTACAATGGTAAGGCTGAGACGATCAAGGTCGATCGACTCAAGCCAGCATTCCTCGACAAGTATGACTCTTCGGTGCAACAAACACCTTCACAGCCTGTGCCATCACAGCTGGCACCGCAACCTCAGACGAGTCAGTCCGCTCCAGCAGAACCGACAACCTCAACCGACAGCACTCCTACTCGCCCTACTATCGATCGACGCGGCAGGAAACTCAAACCTCCAGTTCGATTTTCGGACCTCGTTAGCACTTACTATTTTACGTAGAACGTGCCTTGGAAATTTTCTGCTCTTACCAAACGTTTTTGAAAATTCACAAAAAAAGATCAAAACGTTTTGAAATTACTAAAAAGAACAAAACCTTTTGAAAACCCAGATACAGCTTTGCACAGTTTTCGTTTTCCACTCTTTTGTGTATTGCTATGCATTTATGCTGCTTTTTTATGTTGCTTTACATATACACCGCCGGTTGGTTGCACCTCGGTATCACTTTTCGCTGGATCTGCGCACGTCAATTGGAAGTGGGACGAACTCTGTGCTCAACCGCCTACGTGAACTTAACTAACTGTCCCCCCACAAACAGTTTTTTACCGTTTCGACACCGTAGGGAGGACACGGGTGGGAGCCCGCTAGGGTCCGATTTCATGGTTCTCCACTAGCAACTGCATCAGGTTTCACAACCTGGTCTCGCAGAAGGCTGGCTCGCGACGGACAATCCTCACGTAGGTCGAAGGACTGCTTACACAGTCCTAAAGCGAGAAGCGGGATCGGTACGCTTTAGAACCAATACGCGAATAAAAGGCCAACCTCCGATGAGTGGAGAACACCAAAGGTAACGCTAAGAAAAATTTATTAAGTGGGCGAAACGCTATCTAGTGCTAAAAGTAAGGCACCGGAAGATAGCTAGCTAGGGAAAGGTGTGGTCGCGTGCGCGGAGAGCAAAGATGGCCGCGGAGCCGAGGAGCGTCGCGCCGTTCGAAGGCGGATGCTATGTTGACTCAAACAAACGCGAGCAACGTTCAAACAGGCGAGCGGCTAATTCGCTATGTACATCGAGAAAATATAATTTTGTGATTTTGTAATATTTTACGCAGCATGCGGCAGCCAAACAGGGGAATCTCCAGGTCACTACAGTCCCTTCTGGGAGAGAGTTAGGTAGCAGTCTGGAGATTCTCCGATTTGCCTGTGTAAAATTCTAACTAAAATTATTTCATTGTACACCTAGGCAACCGGTATGGTTTGTTGAACTGATGAAGAAGTCCGATTGATTGGCTTGCTCATCGCTATTTTTTGCTTGGCGCTCGTTTCGGTTGCAACTCGCAACTGCCGAGTGCTGTGCTTGCTCCGTTCCCCTAGCTAGAACGTCCATGGTGTCGTTCTTTTATAGCTAGACAACAGGGAATCTTTTACTGTAGCAATAAAAGTTTCCCTGCAACTCGATCTGTCCTCTCGAATCGCTCTCTGGGCTCCCGGTACAGGCGACGCTCTAAAGGCTGTGTAGAGACCTGTAGGGCTTCTATAGTTGACTGTAAGCCAGTGATAGAAGTGCCCTGGGACGCGACGGCATTGATCTTGCTGGCGTTGGCTTGTGGCTGTGATCGCTCAATAACTCGATCCGCTAAATCTGCTAGTTGAGTGAGCGAAACGGAGCTCACTGTAGCTAGAATCGCTTGCGTGTTTTCCGGTAGCCGCTGTAGCCATAGTTCGCGAAGTAACGTCTGGTCCATGGTTGAGGAAGCAAGTTAAAGCGCGAAGCGGGATCGGTACGCTTTAAAACCAATAAGCGAATAAAAGGCCAACCTCCGATGAGTGGAGAACACCAAAAGTAACGCTAGGAAAAATTTATTAGGTGGGCGAAAGGCTATCTAGTGCTAAAAATAAGGCACCGGAAGATAGCTAGCTAGGGAAAGGTGTGGTCGCGTGCGCGGAGAGCAAAGATGGCCGCGGAGCCGAGGAGCGTCGCGCCGTTCGAAGGCGGATGCTATGTTGACTCAAACAAACGCGAGCAACGTTCAAACAGGCGAGCGGCTAATTCGCTATGTACATCGAGAAAATATAATTTTGTGATTTTGTAATATTTTACGCAGCATGCGGCAGCCAAACAGGGGAATCTCCAGGTCACTACAGTCCCTTCTGGGAGAGAGTTAGGTAGCAGTCTGGAGATTCTCCGATTTGCCTGTGTAAAATTCTAACTAAAATTATTTCATTGTACACCTAGGCAACCGGTATGGTTTGTTGAACTGATGAAGAAGTCCGATTGATTGGCTTGCTCATCGCTATTTTTTGCTTGGCGCTCGTTTCGGTTGCAACTCGCAACTGCCGAGTGCTGTGCTTGCTCCGTTCCCCTAGCTAGAACGTCCATGGTGTCGTTCTTTTATAGCTAGACAACAGGGAATCTTTTACTGTAGCAATAAAAGTTTCCCTGCAACTCGATCTGTCCTCTCGAATCGCTCTCTGGGCTCCCGGTACAGGCGACGCTCTAAAGGCTGTGTAGAGACCTGTAGGGCTTCTATAGTTGACTGTAAGCTAGTGATAGAAGTGCCCTGGGACGCGACGGCATTGATCTTGCTGGCATCGGTTTGTGGCTGTGATCGCTCAATAACTCGATCCGCTAAATCTGCTAGTTGAGTGAGCGAAACGGAGCTCACTGTAGCTAGAATCGCTTGCGTGTTTTCCGGTAGCCGCTGTAGCCATAGTTCGCGAAGTAACGTCTGGTCCATGGTTGAGGAAGCAAGTTAAAGCGCGAAGCGGGATCGGTACGCTTTAAAACCAATAAGCGAATAAAAGGCCAACCTCCGATGAGTGGAGAACACCAAAAGTAACGCTAGGAAAAATTTATTAGGTGGGCGAAAGGCTATCTAGTGCTAAAAATAAGGCACCGGAAGATAGCTAGCTAGGGAAAGGTGTGGTCGCGTGCGCGGAGAGCAAAGATGGCCGCGGAGCCGAGGAGCGTCGCGCCGTTCGAAGGCGGATGCTTTGTTGACTCAAACAAACGCGAGCAACGTTCAAACAGGCGAGCGGCTATTTTGCTATGTACATCGAGAAAATATAATTTTGTGATTTTGTAATATTTTACGCAGCATGCGGCAGCCAAACAGCGGAATCTCCAGGTCACTACAAAGTAGTTGCTGCATCTCTCGTAGCAGGGTTGAGGACAGTTTGTCGCCCAGCTGCTGCAGGCGAACTTTCTCAGAGGGCATAACACGCTTGATCGTGGCCTCCTTGAGAGCCTCATAGCGGTTTTCGGTCTGAGAAATGATAACGTCACGAACCTGCATTGATATTGTAGCAGTATGGAGATTCCCCGGTTTGCCTGTGTAAAACTCTAACCAAAATTCTTTAATTGTACACCTAGGCAACCGGTGTGGCCTCAAGATGAGCGAACTACAAAAGAGAATCCATGTCCCAAAAAGGTGGTACAGAGAGAGATACAACGCTAAGCAGAGACTCTACCTTAGGGTCTAAAGAATCCATGGCTAAAAGGTGACAGCAAATATAGGCTACCGTATGCAAAAATTAACCGTAAAATATGAAAAATAAATGGAACGAGCTCACCGGAGAAAAGTTCCGAATATCCGGCGCGAAGATTGTTCCGGAGTCGGGGTCACCAATTTAGATGCTCGCCTGTACCGGGAGCCCAGAGAGCGATTCGAGAAGACAGATCGAGTTGCAGGGAAACTTTTATTGCTACAGTAAAAGATTCCCTGTTATCTATCTATAAAAGAACACCACCATGGACGCGCTAGCTAGGGGAACGGAGCAAGCACACCACACGGCGGTTGCGAGTTGCAACCGCAGCGAGCGCCAAACAAAAAATGGCGATGAGCAAGTCAATCATTCGGACTCCTCCACCAGTTCAACAAACCATACCGGTTGCCTAGGTGTACAATGAAATAATTTTAGTTAGAATTTTACACAGGCAAACCGGATAATCTCCAGACTGCTACAAATTTCCCTCTGGGTACGATGTGCAAAATAGTGTAGAAGTATAGTGCGAACTTGTACCTGAGCCAAGTAAGAAGCTTGCCTGTTCGAACGATAACTACATGTGTTTGAGTAGACCAGACGAATGGCATTTCGCGTGTTTCTGGCTTTTCGCTTCGAAGAGAGTTGGCTGCGTCTGGGCTGGTGACCATTTCTTTCTCCCTAGCCAGAACCGTTTTACGGAAATTTTAGCTAGCGGGATTGCACGTTTCGACAATAAATGTCTATGTCACCTATTTACTCGTCTTCGCCTGGTTTTTTCTTAAGGCAGGAGGAACGTCAGTTTGACTGAGCGATTCCGCTATAAGTGTAATCAAAATCGTCAAGAATGCAATGTACGGAGCAGTAAACCGTGCGATAGTACCATTACATATAGTTAAGTCGTACACATACCCCAATTTTCCATCCGCAGCATCGACCTTGTTTGCACCGAAAAGAGAGGTGGCAGGTTCAGGGTCTTCGTCATTGGAAACAGATAAATCAATTCGGTTCACAACAGTTGCGGCTGAAACATTCGCTCCTGATGGTTGAACAGTGGTCAAAGGGTTATGCGACAGAAGGGAGTTCTGAGCACCGTCTAGTCCGTTGGACGGACTCGCTCCAATTGGTGCCTCAGTACTGGTAGCTCTAGCTTCACACACATTGGCATCTGCGTGTGTGGTCCTTGAACAGACATGCAGAATTTGAGGACTTGGCAATGGGGTAGGGACAGGGGACACGCGGATGTGTGGAGCAGTGTTGCTTTTAGTGAGTGGACCACTTGGCACCTCCTTGGGAGGTGTCAGAAGGGTGAGATCGTAGTGTATTGATCGCGAGGCTACCTGAATTTCACTGTTCGAATTTGTTTGATTATTACTGGGTGTCACTATCTGTGTTGTGATCGAGTGAGCCAAGGGGTCGGAGTTGGGTTCCGTCATCGACCTTGAATCCAGTCGAAAATTTCTTTCCTTTAAAATCCTATACACAGCATATCTGGTGGTGTCGCAACGTCGGGCTATTTTACGAATACTGACATCGTTCATTCTAGATACTTCACGGATAACCGCGCAAGCTGATAAGTTATCCGTGGTGAAGCGAGGCCGCCCGGTTTTCCTGGCGTTGCACACAGTCCCAGTTTTATCAAACTTTTCCACCAGTTTAAGCACATATCGGCCGGTAACGGGCCGCATATCAGGGTTGATATTGTTGTACTGTCGGGCAGCTTCTGCCGCGTTTAAACTGCACTCGTGATACAGCCGCAGAATGAGCACACGCTGATCAACAGGCACGTTACGAGATTCCGGTTGCAGATACGTTGACGACGGGAGCGTATGCTCATGCTTCATATTGCTGAGACAGTGGTCCGACAACCAAATGACAAGAATCGCACTGCCTTGCACTGCGCGTCGGAACAAAATCAGAAAACAGCTGCGAACTGAGGCGCTTATGCAAATAAACGGCAAGCACAACCGTACGCCACAAGGCCTTCGAAGGTCAGTAGTCACATAGACGCTGCATCAAAATCACCGATCAATGACTTTGCAGACGGCCAATGGCCGGAGTACACACATCTACACGCACGAACGCACGCACGCGGCAGTGTTTCGCGCAACGCCTCACTCCTTCCCTCCATGGCCCACGCTATCCGGCCAGTAATCGATCCAGTGGCTGGCGTTAGCACGTCGTGCAGCATAGAGGCATTTGGTTGGGACGTTCGACATGGACAACTGTTCTATCCCCCAACCATTGGAATGCGCCTGGTAGACGGGGCGGGGCACATCAGAAAAATGAAGTTTAATTTTAATTTGGAACGAGAACAATACGGAAATCCCATAGGTGTTCTTTCTCGAGTGCGTTGTTGATCCTTTTGAAACCAAGAAGAGCCAAATTAGTACGATTGAATCAGGTCACGGACAACCAATCAATGCTCACGTGGTCTGCGTTAGCAGTCCCCGCTGCACCGGCCACATAAATTAGGGTAAAGAATGGACGGAAACAACAAAAACAGGATAATTATGATTTTAAGGTAAGTGCAAACGTGCAAAAAGGTACTAGTAACAATACAAGATTTGGCGGGAGCCCGGATGGCGCTTCCAAAAGACAGATCAGGTTGCTGGGGTACTTTTACAGCAAAAGGTTCCCTGTTGGCCTAAGTCGAAAAAACAGCGGTGACACTGCTAGCGAGGTGAATGGGAAATGCACAGCACAAAGGTGATGCGCGTTGCAACCGAAACGAGCGCCAAGTAACATGGCGACATTTAACTCAGGCAATCGAACTCAGCAACCAGTCCAATAATCCGCATTGGTCGCCTAGGTGCGAATTGAAAAAAATTCTAGTTAGAATTTTACACAGGCAGACCGGAGAATCAAACTGCTACATATAACTCCATTAGAAGTAACTGTGTAAGTAGTCCTTCGATCTACGTAAGCACTGTCTGTCGACGGCCAGCGTTCTGCGAGACCAGGTTCTGGAACATGATGCAGCTGCTAGGGGAGAACCATGAAACCCGCCCTTGTCCCCCCTACAGTGTCGAAACGGAAAAATTGTTTGTGGAGGGACAGTTAGTAAACTTCACGTAGTCTGCTGAGCAGGAAGTTCGTTGCTCTTCAAGTTGAGGTGCGGGGATCCAGTGAAAGATGAAACCAATGGACAACCAACCGAGGGGGTTGTAGTGCCCGAAAAGATAACTGCTATCTTTCATGTACAGTTTAAGTGTTGCCCGGTTGTACATTATTCCTTCTTGTTTTAATCTTCCTTACAACCAGCTCGACACTCGACCGCCTTGTAAGTTTCCGCGCTCACGTGTTTGCTCTTGTCGCGCGTCATCCTTCCGCTTCTTATTGTAGCCCAGCGAATACAGTCCGCTCTGTCCGACTCCAATTGCCTTCTGATATCCGCGCTTAATTTCGCGCACGGTCTCGGACTAGCATTTACTAGTCCTGCAGAGTGTAGATGGAAGGCAAAATGGGAAGAGCAGTGTTAGTGCATGACAGTATTCAAAGGCGTACAAAGCGCAAAATATACGAAGATGTTTCTGGATTTCAAAAGATTTTGCTCTTTCTCGGCAATTTCAACACGTTTTAGTCCATTTTTTGCACATGTTGCAAAGCGTTTATGTGAGCCTAAAAGTATGCGAGAAATGCTCCTTGAGAAGCAACAAACGCTAACAAAATCAGAAGAGCTTATTGGAGGGTTACTTCCACACCACGTCGGTTGATAGTGAGTCGTGAAGTGGTGACCTCGGTTGAGTTTGTAGATTCCGCTAGAGCAGAGTAACTAGTCCGGGGTTGCTGTGCTGGCCGTGATAATGCAAGCTGTGAAGGTGATTGTTGTAGAGGACTGCTGGCTTGAGTCGGCCGACGTTATTCGTCTCTGTTTTACCATTATAGTCATGGTAAAAGTTTATCGTTTCTTAGTAAGACATGTGCAGGCCAGAATAAGGAGGTAGAAGTTATCGACGTACGCTTTCGGTTCGAACAAACACGTGAGTGCAACTGCGAAAGCGTTCGTCCGCGTTAGTACGCAAGCTCTGTACTCTGGGTTGTACAAGCTGAATTTGTCGCAAGTGATAATGTAGAGGGGCCGCTTCCAAGAATGGCTCTGGGGAGCTCTTCGGAGCTAGCTGAGAGCGGATCGCGAAAGACGGCTAGCGACGAGCCTGGGCCCGGAACTACGGAGCGGGAACATGTGGACAGCGCAATAAATCAGACAAATACGCCGCTAGCGCAGCCCACAGCACCGAGGCCGAGCCGATTGACACAGCCCCGAACAAGCAAGTCGAGAGCTCTCGAACGACTCCTAGCCGATCAAAATCGGGTGCAGAGAAGCGGAGATCGAGGCGAAAACAGGAAGGCGGATCTTCCAAGTCAGAGCTCCCGAGGCGAAAGGACTGGCTCGTCTCTAACATCCGCACCTGTGTTGCGTTGTGGGACGGAAACCTAGTCGATATTCGATGGCGCGCGCGAGACCCTCATGTGCCCATTTTCGGTGTGCAATAAACGTCTACCCCCCTGTCGTGTCGTTCTCGCTACA